AAAGCTCGTTCATTTTTCACTACACCCTACTAATCATTTGGTAAACTGGTTTTTCCTAAAGTAACTTTCAAAGAAAGCTTATCAAAATTTATAAGAGTTTTTTATGATTTACTACTTGTGTAACCATTTACAAGATGTTTAGAACTACCTATTTTCAAAAAAAAAGTGATACGCGTCACGACCTCTCAGGGGGTTCTAAAGCTGTTTCATATGATTTTACGATGAAGTTAGAAACATAAATAGTCCATAAGAAATTATCCTAGTTATCTTAAACAATACAACTGATATGTCAAAATTTTTATTTTTTTATAAAATGACTAAAACGTAGGATATTTATAGAAATAGGTATATTCGCATATTCATACCAGTTTCACGATTAAATCTGGGAATAATAAGGGTTTGCATGCTTTTGAGACATTTTGGTATTCAATAAGCTGTTCCATGTCTCTTGTCCCAAAAAACACCCAAGGTCCCAAAAATAGATTTATGGAAAAAAACGCGAAAAATATTTGTATAACAACACTTTTATTAGGTAGTAAACCGAAATACCTCAGTATATTAAAAACTAAAAAAAAAATATTTTCAAAACTATGATATCTGGAATTAAATAAAAATGAATAAATTAGAAAAGCAAGAAAAAAATTCCCTGTTCAAGAATTGAAATGACATACCTGCTTATTTATCTCCGTTTGCAGCACACTATCAGCTAACTGTCCCTGTTTGTTTTCACCACACCAATTTGGTGAACTTATTGCGACTTTACCTTTCTGAATACCTAAATCGTCTCAGCTAAAAAAAATAGTCACTTACTTATAGTCTCAAATATATGGGGCGTATTATGTATGGGAACTGATAGCCGATTTACTAAAATTCTCATCACGTCTCATGGTCGGCTACTGAGCCTGGTAGCAAATTTTCGGTTTCTGTTTCCCGCTTATGACGATTTTGTTATTTGTTTACATAAATTGTCAAACACATTGGAGCAAATTTGTCAATTACTTCGAAATGTCACAAAAGTAAACTTCGGATGATGTCTTCTTTATACTGAGATTAATCGCCATACATAATGAAAATTACAATACTGGTAGCCATGGCTACTGGACCAAGCAAATAGACACCAGTCGACGTATATAAAAACTAGGGCCATTAGTGAAATCTCTAAGCAAAAATTTCAAATTTTCGAATCTACGAAAACAACTAATAACCAGTGTTGAGGAAGGCATATATCACGACGTTTAATATTATTAAATATTTTAATTAATGCAGCATTTTCGTTTGCTGAAAATCGTGAAAAATTGCTTTTAAGTTTTTAGTTAGTAATGCTATCAAAAAAAATAAAAATATTGAAATAACTTAAAATATCAAAGACACAATGGTAAATTAACTCCAGAGCGTAAGGCTGTATTCAATACTTTATTTTTGCTCTTAATTGGGTCCAACAGTGATTAGTTTCTTGCAATGTTGCAAAGTAGAGTAAAACATAAAAAAAATTCAAAGCAACAAATTCGCATTTTAAGGTTTAATTCACACGAAAAATATAGATTCTGATGTGGATTTTGACAGGCATGCATAAATATATTTGTGTTTTTTTTTTTAGTATGACTTTCTTTCAACAATTGAGCGGTATTTTAAAGTATTCAAGAGTGTGCTAGACTAAAGGTTGAGGCAAGAGTGAAATTTGCTCGCAATCCAACCNTGCAATGTTGCAAAGTAGAGTAAAACATAAAAAAAATTCAAAGCAACAAATTCGCATTTTAAGGTTTAATTCACACGAAAAATATAGATTCTGATGTGGATTTTGACAGGCATGCATAAATATATTTGTGTTTTTTTTTTTAGTATGACTTTCTTTCAACAATTGAGCGGTATTTTAAAGTATTCAAGAGTGTGCTAGACTAAAGGTTGAGGCAAGAGTGAAATTTGCTCGCAATCCAACCTTTGGCCAGTTGTCGCGGTTTTGTACTTTAAATGCCGATATATATGTTTGCATTTAGAATTTCGTCGATTTAAACCGCGGCACACACATTCACACTGCGTTTATAATCGTTACTTATTTGTTTGTTTTGTTGCTGCCACAGCTAAGGTAAATATACATAGTTATTTGTTTCAGATTGTATACCGGAGAGATTAAATGTGATTGCTCTTGACTAAACAGGTACCGGCAATTACTGCTATTTGTTTGTAAGCATATACCGTAATAAACCCGTAACATACCGTAGTAAACAATATGTCATATATATGCTTTTAGTTCGTTAAAGCAACTTAAAATAAGATTAGCCAAATTTCACTTACAATAAATATATGTATGTAAATCAAATAAATATGTATGTAGCTATTTATTTTATGAGCTCCTTAGCTACGAATTGAAAGAAGACTACTAAATACTCATACAATACCAACAAAAGCTTGCGACTCTGGTAGTTTGTTCCAAAGTTTACAGTTTACTAACGAAAAATAAAATGGCATAACTAGGTTGGAGAAGCATGTATGTATGTATGTTTGGGTTACACTGGTTGTAAGCGCTTAACCAAAAGGTATTCAGGAAACTTTATCTGTCCGTCTGTCTGTCTGTCTGTCTGTCTGCTGGTCATCTTTCCGAAAGCTACCGCTACATGGTAAGCATGGTATCAATTTTGAGTAAATTTGCGTCTTTAATTTCGAAAAATTGAAGATTCAAGAATTTCTGAAATTTGCTGTTATATGAAAACCGTTCGTTATTTTAGTCCGATTTCAATAATTCTCAACGTTTTGCTTTTATGTGGCAAGCACAACAAAAGTACCAAGTTTGGTAGAAATTGGTAGAACAGTTACCAATATACATATATGTGATCATAAGTGGGCGGTGCCACGCCCATTTTCCAAAATTTTACCATAAACTTATTTCTTAGTAAAGAATTGTTTCAAGCATCAATTTTTAATAAAGTGGCTTTAATATTTACTGATTTATCGAAGACTTTGTATTTCTCTAAATTACCGTTATATGGGATGTGGGCGTGGTTACTGTCCGATTTTAAAAATTTTTAGCCATTTGGTATATTGTACTAATGCCAACAATTGTGCTTGAAAGAAATTGGTGTAGCCGTTACCAGGATATACACATGTAACCATAAGTGGGCGTGGCTACGCCCATTTATAATATTCTTATTTTTCGTCTAAGAATTATTGTAAATATCAATTTTGAGTGAATAATCTTCAGTAGTTACTAAAATATCGCAGTTTTCGTATTTCTGAAAATTACCGTTATATGGGAGGTAGGCATGGTTATTGTCCGATTTTTCCCATTTTCAATACCATCCGTCCTACGCCCGAAAGAAGTGCACATACCATATTTCGTTAAGATTTCTCGATTTTTACTCGAGTTATCGTGTGCACAGATGGACGTACAGACGGACGTTCAGACGGACGGACGGACGGACGGACAGTCACCGCTTAATCGATTTCTCTTTTCATCCTGATCATTTATGTATACATTTGTCCATATCTATCTCGATTCGTTTTGCCTGTTACAAATAACCGTTATGTGAACAAAGTTATAATACCCTTGTGCACAAGTGCGCTCGGGTATAAAAAATTTGAATTTGATATCCGGAAAAATGCGGAATATTAAGAAGCAGTTCTAAGCGTATTTTAATGTATATGTAAGTAAGTACATACATACGTATGTACACAAATGTACTTTTGCGCGAATAATGTACTCAGCAATGAAAAGCCTAAGCAGTCAGTAATCATTCTAGTTAATCAACTTATAGGAACCGATAAGTTCATTAATTCGTACATGGAACGACATTTTGTAGGCCATACATATTTATGTAACCATCTTAAAAATACCAGTTGCTATAATATCAGATAAAAGTCGAAGAAATTGAGCTGAAAGCAAATTGATAGTGTTCTATTTAGTTCACTACTAGTAGCTTCCCTTGCAGGACAGTTGTATATGTATTAAGACATCCAAACAAATATGCATACATACAGTGACTCATACAAGTGTTCCCATGCTGATGTTCACAGGATTTTCCGAGTAAATTTTTTTTTTTAAATATTGCTAATTTTTTTTCTTATAAAAAAATGTTCACGCATGAAAAGAGCAAACTTCATACAAAATTTAGAAAATTTCGATGATTTTTCATTAAAATTAAAAAATTTTTAATATGAGTTTAGAAAACTTCTGGGTACACAGTTTTACAGCTCATAAAATTTTAGTATAAAGAGTGCTTGTTAGAAGCAGCTAAGAATTCGCTTTGATTTGTAATATTTTCTTTTTCCTCCGATTTTTTTATACACCAAGTACAATTCATAAGTCAAGCATTGATTTTTTTAATTTTGGTAACGGTCTTTCGCATTTTATTCCATAGAAAATTCATGTTTTTTTGGAAAAAGTAAAATACCGCCAGCAAAAAAAAATATTAAAAATCAACGCGTTTTTTATAAAACAGCATACTCAAAAGTTTTCTAAAATTTCAAATTGAATAGTTTGAAATTTTATAGAAAGTTTGACATAAAAATATAAATGGTTCCGTTTAAAGCAGGAATAATCGATAAATACTTAAAAAAATAACAAAAAAAGTTACTTGAAAAATATCTATCTATTGTGAATATTAAACAAAAAACCAACATATTCACGCTCGTTTGAGTTACTGTATGAATGTATGGTTAAAAAATTCTTGGTGGCAAGCGGCCATGTGATAGTGGCCGTAAGGAAAAGAAGGGCGCAGACAGCCGCCAGCTATTCCAACTCGCCGCTCATGCATACACAAAGTCACACATATGGTTGTACCCATTCAAACAGACACACCCAAGCATACACTCACACACATAGTAGTCGTAGTTAAGTATTTGCACATACCTAGCGCGTCTATGTGGCTCCGCTCAACGGTTGTGGTTAATCCGAACACAAGCAGCATCATTACGTATTCCAGCAACATTTCATCCGAAATTCAGATATTTGTTTTCTTTTTTTTTTTGTTTTTGGTGTTTGACTGTTTCTGCTATGCAAACAGCGTAGGGATATCGCAATTACCAAAATGACAAGGCAATAGCGATGACTACGAGGACGACAGCAGCAATGAGTTGGCGCGGCATTGACGTCCAAAGAATATTCACAAAATGAAAATGAACTCACAAAAAGAAAATCAATGCCAATGACTGCTGACTGCTGATGACAATTTTGCGTTTTTACATTGTTATTGTAGTTCAGCTGTTATCGGAAATTGTGTGTGGCTGGCGGCGCGTGATGACGGCGCGTGAAGGCCGCGTCCCAACTCACCCGCGGCAGCAATCGGTTGCTGATGTTTGGCGACTGATCTCGAACGGATAGAATGAAGCTATGTTGTTGGTTTTGTTTTCGTTGTTGGTGTGCGCTTCGATTTGTTCCTCATTTATTTGAATGTGATTTTGCTGTTTGCGCAACACAGCCTAACACTCAGTGTGGCACAAATTGTTATTTGCAGCAATATGGCCTTCAGCACACACACACACCAACGAACACACACGGATGGACTTAGTTCTTGTTCACACACTTCGAAATTTTTACGTACAAATTATAAAAAAGTAGTAGTCGTTATCGTTGTGCGGCTATTTTGTTGGAGGTTTTCTGGCACTTGGTCAAGTGAGCGACTCGTTGCGGGTTTTTCGATGTATCTTCTGGTTATTTTTTATTTTTTTGTTTTTGTTTCTTTTTTATTTATTCGAGCAACAATTACTCGTATCGCGCTTGCCAGCTAGTTGGGGGCACCTCATAAAACGCACATTCAATTAAGATAATTAAACGCAGAGTAGGCAAGTGCACACTCGACAACACTTGAAGCCACTCTACGGCAAACGCACGCACGTGACTCAATGGGCAAGGACACGTTTTATGGGATTGACGTAAAATGTCTGCGATTTCATTGCATTGAGTGCCAATTGGGAATGGTCTCTTTTAATTATGCACTTCACAGTTTGCTTGCGCTGAGGCGAATTTAGTTACTTACTTTTTTTTATTAAGTTTTAGCTCCGCCATAACAATCTTTTCACAATCAAAAATGACGCCTATTTATGTACTACCTTAAGCATTTCTTAGCGCTGACCACATCTCTTTATTATTTTAGATTTCCACGTGGTTCATTTAATTATACTCCCACAAATGCGACGAAGTAAAAATTTGGTGCGTTGCAGATTTAGTGCATTTCAGTGGAAATTGAATTATCACACAGTTAAACAGAGAATCCTGATAGGAGTAGGCTGTGAACTTGCCACTTTTGTTTCACCAAATGTTTAAATGCTAGACACTAGTTAATTGCCTTTTTAACATTCTGTCAACATTTCGGTTCAAAACTGTCAGCATCAAGTTAAAAATCGTAACTTTTTTACTAAATACGCCACATATTTTAATTCTTCCTGATTTATTTACCAGGACTTCACCCTTGCCTCACTCACTAACTCCCTTCGTAGGTACATCACTTAAACATCAAAATCTTGATATCATTTCTTTTTAGTTAACTTTTCCTCTCCTTTGTATGTACGCGACACGACCACTCAGCTAACTTTTCCGCGCTCTAAACACTTGAATGTCCTTTTGCAAGCACTTACACCGGACAACTAAATATATTAGAAGTGCACAATAAGGACTTAAGTTCAGCCAAACGAAAGGGCCGAGCGCATCACCTCAGTCTTTCACATGTTACTGAAAAGACTACTTGGTGACTGTAAAATGGTCAAACGAAGAGAGGTTTTCGTTTTCTTTTGGTGGCATACGTCGAAGCGCAGGCGCTTTCTTGCGTGAGTAAAGCTTTTGGAGTCATAAAATCAGTAAATCAGCTCAAAATGTGGGGAACCAGAGATTTGCAGCAGAAAATGCTCAGCAACATGTTGCAGCAACATCTTAGTATCAACGGCAAGGTGATACTACTTACAAAGGCCTTATATTTCTAAAATAAAGGATGCATAAATAGTACAACAATTTATTAGAGGCGAGCTGGTAGTCTGTATAAATTTTGATTCCTTTTATGTATATAAATTTCATCAATTACCAACTTTTACGGTTTGAAATTTCGACTTTCATTGAATAATGTTTTGACTGGATGGAAGTATTATACGTGTTTAATTGTTTTAAGAAATATCTTGCCGTTTGGAAACAAATTTTTATTAAACATGCAATCTGCTTTCAATACCCTATACTGAAATTCGGCAATCGTTACTTAAAGCATGTTCACATTATCGTAATTTATATGGCATTCACACTATCTTAATTTCGGGATCACCCTTAAAGACAAATGACACTAAAAAAAACACCGACACATGTAAACTTAATTTTGTGTCGTATATTATAGATCTTTATACCATTTTCCCACACCAGACTATTTTCTTCAATATATTTAAACTTTCTATGAAAAAAATCAATTTTTAACAAGGAAAAGAAAAAAATAAAAAAAATGTAAAATTTTTTTTTACATGCTGTTCTTTTGACAAAAAATCATGCTGCTAACGATAAAAATTGATGCATGAATAAACATGTTTTGAATGAAATGGAAGCAGAAAATAATAGTACTCATACTTCATATAATTAATACATGGCCGTACTCGTATATATTCGTACACGGCGTATGAGTAACATTTCACCTATAAAAAGGGAAAAGCAGGAATGTGTTTTGGTTCTCCAAGGCAGGATATTTATAGTCCTCAAAGCCATGGACCACAAGTGGAAAACAGGTGGCGCTTACTTCTTTCAAATTAGTTTGAGGGTACATAATTTGGAAAATTCTAACTGCTAGGTCATTCGGGGTTACGTGTTAGATGTGAGTGGAGTGTTTTTGAACTCTAAGAGCAAAGGCAGATCGATATTGTTTTAATTGAGTGTGTCTGCAGTCTCTGCGTGGAAAACCATTTCAGGTTCGCCAATTATCCACCATTACTTGACCTCTATTGTCACTGGAATTTACTCTTCGCATCTCTTGTATAAATATAATATCATTTCGTCACCATTTTGATTGGCTTTGTCATTTCTCAGGGTTGCTCACCATCGGTAGTGCAAAAATTCTCATTCGTATCTGTGCTCCGGGACAGCCATTTTAAATGTGAGCACCTCAATTTTTTGTCAAAACTGAAAAGTGTTTGCAAGAGTTTTCATATTCTAAACTAACCATTTTAAACTATACAAACTCCTGCTGGTGGTCGGCCTACACCTGCATAACCCTTCTGATATAATGAAAGAGAATTTCAATCGCATTAATATGCCAACCATCGAAAAACACAAAAATTCCACAATTATTTATTTTTGCAAATTTCTAAATAAAACCGAATGACAAAAATGCTGAATGAAATACCAACTAAATTGCTTCAATATTTCAATCGGTGTGCAAGCTATGCAAGTTATGTTCTTAAACTACGAGTATAAATGGGTAATTCGTATGCAAATAGTTTAAAGCTTTCAAGTCACTTCAAGTATTTATAAAAGTATGCATACGGCTTATGTGTGTGTATGCAAATTTGTTTTTTTAGTTTTATCAAAGAAAATTTCTTAGCTCTTTGTCAATGTTTGTATTGTTTTATACATAAATACAAATACAGATTCGTATCTATGTTTATTTGTGTGTATAACATAACAGCTATGTATTCACTTGTCGACGCATAAATTACTTTAACACCTTATTTTATACAAATAGATTAAGAAAATAGTTATTTTTGTATTAAGCGACTTTCGAAATAAATAAAATTTTCATTGGAAATATCAAATAAGTCTCTTTCTTTTTTGAATATGTACCAGCTCAGTCTGAAAGTCACTTATGAATTTATTGGTTTCAGGCTAGTGATAAATTTGGTTTTTCCTTTTGTCAATAATTATAATTTTTGAATGTTGTTACGAAAATAGAGCGTCCTACAGTTTTACGACCACTCCAAATTTTCCTCTTTTGCCAATACTCTCCCTTACAAATTTGTGTTTCGTTTAGAAAGTAGTAGAATTTATGAGGATGCTGAAAATATTGCTATGGAGATCCATTTGAGACACATTGCCCTCAATAACTCCCACAAAAATCAGAGGCATCGTCTTTTGATATGAATACATCACCAGAATGCCAACGAGCGGAGAACTACTTAAAAAAACATCGACATAAGCATCAAAAACTATAACCACTACAAAATCATTTTAAGTGAGGGCGATAGAGGATCGCGAAGAGGCTGCTGTTGGAAGAGAATGAGTATTATTTGTAAGGCTGGCGTCAACTTTCTGCCATCTAAACGTCTCAGTAAAGGCATATCCATCTATAAGTCATCACATAAAACTAATATGCAAATATCACTATCTTTCACATCTATCAATATATCGTGGCGACCGCTGCGGTGGACTGTTTAGCAAGCGCACACTACTTCCACATTGTTGGGTTCGACAAACATAAAGAAATAAAAAATATAAAAGAATTTTCTGCTAGCAGTCGTGCCTTAGCAAGCAATGGAAAATCTCCGAGTGTACCTATGTCATGAAAACCAGCTTCACATGAAATCAAATCGCCGTTCGGAGACGGCGTAAACTGTAGATCCCTCCCCTTTGTGTACGGCCATGTACGATGTGGCGTATGAGTAACATTATTTCGTGGCCCTATTTCACAAAAAACGTTAATGTCCATTTTCCTTCACCATTCAAAACTTGCCGATTTTCATCGCTAGTAGCTTAATACTTTGGGAAAAAATCAGGCTTTAAAAAAAATTTTGAAAAAATTACCTATATATACATGCAAATATGTACATTTTTAATTTTTGCCTTGGCTTAACTTGGAAATTTAATTTGGTATTTCGAATTTCGATGTAAAAAAACACCGTAATTTCTATTTTTCCGCCATTCTATTTTAAAACTCGATCCCAGTAAAGCTTTATTGGCTGTTATATTAACATTCAAAATATAGACTGTAGCAAGTATGCTCTGTTGTTTTTGAAATCCACTGCTAGTCCATTAGACTCTGCCCCAATCAACCAAACTTGGAAGTATTCCGCGGCGACGATTCCCGCTCGCCTGTCAAAGTAAATATGTAAACAAAACGATCTCCCCATAGTTTGAAACATACCGTGAAAGCGGGAGCTTTAACATGGGAGTTCTGACGATATAAATATCCACAAACTCAAGAGTTAACTGATATAGTATATGTAGTTCAGGGCGTCTCGTCTATACCAAAAAAACCAACCCTCTGCACACGATTTACCTTCATAAGTAATGCATTTTTACAGTTCGACCAGAGGATTTATTAGGGTTTTATATAACCACTTGATTGCATTTAGAGAGAATACCCTGATCTAATCAATGGCACTTATACAGCGATAAAGATAAAGTGTTCATAATCACGCCCAAGTACTTTACCCAGTCAGAGAACGCAAGTGGACCCCCACCGGTTGAGGAAACCTTAACATTTGCGACTATCATAAGATAGACAGTATTGGTTACGGTCTAATCGTAGATTATCCGGGATAAATATGAAACTTAAAAAGTGAATTTAAAACCCAAGCTTGCTCAAGGCTTTTACAGTCGCCTCGGGCAGCAGGTTTTTCAACGCATCCTCCGTATCGAAGAATGCTCCCCAAATTCCCCGGATATTTTCTTCAAGTAGAAATTCTAAGGTATGCTAAGTTGCTATAGTTTTTTTTAACGACTTACATAAATTTACTTTCTTTCAACAAATGAGCAACTTGAACTAAATGGATTACCTTCGTTATCGTAATAGGCTTGAATTTATTTTTTCTTACTTCACCCACGGCCATTAACGGGCAATGATATGTTCGATATTCGCTAACTCTCATTGTGATGTCGAATTCTTAGAAGGCATAGATACATAAATTGATAAGTATGTACATATTTTAAGCTGAAAATCCAGAGTTCTTCGGAAGTATTTACGCAATAAATTCATGGAATTGGAGTGGCATTGCTATCATAAACCCACTTTAAAATTCAATAGAACGCTTACTCCTTGTTATTATGCGAATATGAAACATTCAGGGCAATAAAACGCAAGTCAAGGTGGAATAGAAGAGGCGAATAAGCGCGTAAGTATAACTCCCTGCTGCATGGATATAACTACTTGGCTTGCAGATGTTTGCAGATCAGCAAAAAACGTGAACGACGATGACGGCACTTGCAGCCGTAGCAGCAAAATTATACAGCATGGCGACCTGCACATATACACAGGCACGCACATATACATAAATACTCGCACCGCACACATACATACATATTTCGAATGCAAATGCTTGAAAATTTCAATTTAATTCAACTACTGTTACGCGTTTGTTATTTTTGTTGCTTTTGTGACATTTTTTGCAAATCCGCTAAGTTCAGCTCTATGCCAGTGCCTAGTGATGCGAATACATATTTACACACTCACGCGCCCATACAAATTTATGTACAATCCTTGCAGTGAAAAGCCAAACCAGTAAGAAAAATACTAGCTCATTAACTAGTACATATGTATGTGTCTACCAGTTTGACAATTTCCAAGAACTTAGGCGTTCAGCGACATCTGCCTTTGAACTGCCTAAGCCAAAAATAAAACGC